ACCAGCTCCAGACCCAGGCTCTCCAGAAACCGAAGGAACACCCTCACCCCCAGACGCAGCACCCCCAGACTCCGCACCAGCACCCCCAGACTCCGCACGACCAGTACCAGCCCCCGGAAGACAAGAGTCCTCTGCAACCCGCGGCTCAGCTCCAACTCCAGCACCCCCAGAACCAGAGACCTGTACAGGGACAGTCGCAGGACCAACCTCCCGAGAGGGAGCACCTGCAGGAGGCGGCGAGGAAGACTGTGGGGAGGGAGGCTGTACAGGGGGGGCTACCGAAGGGGGAGGGCTAGCCTGAGACACACCAGACGGGGCTGGACCAGGGGGGGGAGGCTGTACCGGGGGAGCAGGCGGGGGAGCGGCTGTCAGGAAGAGGGGGGGAGGAGGAACCGGGAGACCTCGACTGGGGTACCTGACGTAGTACGGGGTGGACTCCTCGAAACGGACGTCACGGGAGTCAAAGAACCGGTGAGAGGGTGGGTGGTAAAAGGTGAAGTCAGAGGAGTCCTCAGGGAAACCAAGGAAGACACAAGGAACGGCGCGAGGCGAGAGCTTGTCCGCGGAGGTGTCGCGGACAAGAGCCAAGCACCCCCAGACACGAAACCTCGACGCGACACCAGGGGACCCTGTCCAAAGACTGGTCGGTGAAGCCTCCGGCCGAGAGACGCGTGGCCAGAGGTTCAGCTGGTGCGCGGCGTACCTGACCGCGTATGGCCACAGGAAATGGGGGGCACGGGCGTGAGTCAAGGAGGTGCGGGCAATCTCCATGACCAGGCCTATGCGACGCTCAGCAACCCCATTCTGCTGTGGGGACTCCGGAAGCGTCCAGGACTGACGAATGCCCTGTTCGCGACAGAATCCAGCGAGAATGCCGGAGCGAAACTCGCCCCCGCGGTCGGAGTGGAGACAGCTGACACGACGACCACGAGTGTCCTGGGTGGTAAGCAACCACCTGATCAGCGTAGAAGTCACCTCAGACTTCCTCGCCAGGGGGAACACTGTGGTGTAGCGGGAGTAGTCGTCAACGACCACCAAAAAGAAACGCTCACGCTCAGGGCCAGGGCGAGGAGAGGGGCCCCAGACGTCCAAGTGCAGCGTCTCAAAAGGCTCGGTGGCCGGACGAAGGGAGGAGGAGTGAGGGGTGGCACGCAGCCTACCCTCGACGCAAGGACCGCACGGTGGTGCAAGGGACGGCGGCAGCGACGGCAAGACACGCGGGAGACCTAAGACCAGACGCTGACTAGACATAGCACGCAGACGTGGAAGAGAAGGGTGTCCCATCCGGTGGTGCCACAGAACGGTGGGGTGGGCAAGCGACCGACAGGAGCAAGACGCAGCGACTGGACTGGACGCGACAACCTGAGGGGACGGAACCACCTGGTGAGACGCAGGGAGGAGACTAGGGGGAGGGACAGGAACTGGGAGGAGTGGCTGCTGCGACGGCGGCCGCTGTGGCTGCGGCTGCGGCTGCTGCCGCTGCTGCTGCTGCGGCTGCTGCTGCTGCTGCTGCTGCTGCTGCTGCGGCTGCTGCTGCTGCTGCAGTCGCTGCTGAGCGCGCGGGCCAGTGTGAAGAGTGTAGAGACCGGAGCCCGGCTCAGCAGCAAAAGTGGCGAGGGGCTGGTAAGAGTCCCCGTCAACACACACCGCAGTCTCTCCAGAAGGCTCAAACCACACACCCACGTGCTGACTCACGAGGGGTCGCACGCCCACCAAGTTCCGGGAGAACGAGGGGACGTGAAACCCAGTGAGAGACCCAGAAGGAGCAGCCGGACACGGCAAGGTGGTAGTGTGACGCGCAGTGACTGGTCCCGAAGTGGGATCAGCCAGCGCCACAGAAACAGGCGCAGGAAGAGGCGTAAGTGTCGTGCTGTCACGAAAGAAGCAGTGAGAGGCTCCAGAGTCCAGCGTGAACGACAGCGAACCGTCCTCTGAGGTAGCCGCTGGACTAGAGTCTACACAAGAACCTACACTAGCAACAGGCAACTGAGCAAGGCTAGCACCTAAGCTAACAACACCAGAGTAAGCAGAGTCAGAAACACTAGAGTCAACAACAGCATACATAGCATGGGGAGTACCAATCAGATCAACTAACTGCTCAGCAGACATGCCCCACAGAGCGGAGCCGTAGCGCTGAACAAGAGGCAGCCAGTCAGGGGCAGGAGCACCAACCCCGTAGACCAAACGAACCGTGTCAGTGAGCTGAGCAAAGCACTGACCAGGGGGGTGAAACCGGCCACAAGGGTGGCCACGACGAGGGCCTGTCAGAACCTGGTAGGTGCAGGGAGTGTAAGCAGCACCACGCTGGGTCTGACGCAGCCCCGACCCTGGAGCCAGCTGCTGCCGCTGCTGCTGCTGAGGCTGCTGGGAGGAGAGGGGCTGCTGGTGCTGCAGAAGCTGCTGCTGACGCTGAGCCTGGTACCACGCCGCTGCTCCACCAACCGGGGCAGGAAGTACAGGAGGCGACTGACGAACTCGGGCGTCGCCACCACTAGCAGGCGCAGTGGAGTCACCAGTCACTGCACGAGGCGCCTCTCCAGGCCCTGAACCTCCACCGCCGCCAGGCGCAACGCCACCTCCACTACCTCCGCCTCCACCTCCACTACCACCACCAGAACCGCCTTTCTTGCCACTCCTACCGCGGGACCGCGACGCAGTCGTAACAGCAGCTGCAGTCGCGTCAGTAGCGGCAGTGGCAAGTGAGGCAGTAAAGGTGGGTAACTGCGGGACTGTGCACCCGTGGAAGAGTGGGGGGGGGCACAGCACCAGAGGCAGCGGCTACCGAGCGAAGGTTGCTCTCGACGTCCTTGAGTGTAGACTCAAGGACATCGACGGTGAGCTCACTAGGGTGCTTCAGCAGAAGCGCGTCGCGAACGGAGGCAAGGCGGTCAGGGAGGCTAGTGGCGATGAAATAGATAGTAATCGCCATAGGGGGAGGAAGCAGTGCAAGCTGTGCCTCAGTGCAAGCAGCGCGGTAACTAGCGTCGAGCGAGCGGAGGTGAGCGATCAAGTCAGCAGAGCGCTCAAACGAGGCGAGATCAGGAAACAGGAACGGGAGGAAAAGACGGCCAAGAGAGACAGTAGCGGGAGTAGAGTAGCGGGCCTTAATCGCAGTGAGGTACGCAGCAGCGGTGCGAACCTGAGTGAAGTGGACCTCCTCTGACTCAGGGAGGAGGCTGCTGAGTGCGATGCAGGCCGCAGCGTCACGCGACGTCCAAGCCGTCCTGTCAGCGCGCTGACGGGCAAAGCGAGCCGTAGCAGCATCGTCAGGGGCAGGACCTAAAGCGGCAGGCTCGGGGGGCTCGGGGAGGTCACCAGTAGCGTGCGACCAGAGGGTCTTGCCCCCCTGGACTTGGCGAGCGCGAAGAAGCCAGACGGAAAAGTCAAGAGGTCTACCGTCAGCGTCGAAACGAAGAACTCGCGGAGTCGCCATAGCGAGAACTAACGCGAACGAGCAGGCGAGTAACAGCAGGAGGTAAGAGGCAAATTAGGGTTCAGGTGGGGGGGGGGGGGACTTAGTCGCAGCGGAAGAACGGGCTAGGGCGACGGGCCAGGGCGTAGGGTCGACGGGACGGGGGAAAGGGCGGGCGCGATGCGACGGGGCAGGGCGACGCGACGGGGCAGGGCGACGCGACGGGGCAGGGCGACGGGACGGGGAAGGGCGACGCGACGGGGCAGGGCGACGCGACGGGGCAGGGCGACGGGACGGGGAAGGGCGACGCGACGGGGCAGGGCGACGCGACGGGGCAGGGCGACGGGACGGGGCAGGGCGACGGGACGGGGCAGGGCGACGTGACGGGGGGAAAGGGCGCGACGCGACGGGGGGAAAGGGCGCGACGCGACGGGGGGAAAGAGCGCGACGCGACGGGGGGAAAAGGACGCGACTCGGCTGGGGGAAAGGGCGCGACGCGACGGGGGGAAAGGGACGCGACGAGGGGGAAAGGGCGCTAGGCGCGGCACTACGCGCGGTAACAACGGAACCGGGACGAATGAGAGCTAGGATCAGGCTCGGGAGGCTCGAACGGAGAACGGAGGAACGGGATCCCACAGGATCCTAACCTAACTGATACCATGTCAAAATGAAGAATGGATGATGCATTGATGTTGGTTGGGGTACATATAGCTAACCCTAAGTTTTGTACCCCCTAAGACAAACCTCACTATAGGCTACAACATTTGACAAGTAGCTACAGCGGAATGAGTAGGATTGATAGGGTTGGGGTACACATGCCTAACCCTAACTGCTTGTACCCCATATAGCATGACCCACAACAGGGTATAACATTTGACAGATTCTGCCAGGCTGTCAGCAACCATTGCGCTGTGACTGGACTGGAGAGGCCCCCCATTGGGGTTCTCATGTTTTGCTGTCTAACAGGTCTACCTACTCGTGAGAGTTAGTTGCATTGGGGATTGGCTAGGAGCTTGATAGATTGCTCATTGTTGGGGGCTGTGATTGGGGCTCTGGTTGCTCGCTGGGTCTGTTTGGATTGGATTGGATTGGACTGGGTTGGATTGAGTTGGACTGGATTGGATTCGGTTGGGATGGGACTGCGTGACGACGCGTGACTGTAAATGACATCAAAGGGGTTGGGTGGTGTAGATGGTGCAGGGATGGGTTGCATTTTCTCATTTGTGCTGCTGGCAACAGCAACACTTGCTCTATCTAAGTTATTGCAGTTGGATTCATCTGTATCGCAAATACACTTAGTTGCGGTAGGTACAGTACAAACTTAGTGGTTATCAGATCTTTGTCTGCAAACCTGAAAGCTATTGTGCGAATCATTTACCATATGTAAGAAGAATCCTCTGAAGTTTATATCGGGCAGGCGATTGCTATAGTCTAGTCGGACTGGCTGTCAAACTCGATGGCCTGTCACGTCAGCTAGCCTCGAGCACAAGAAACCAAACCCCAATCCAATGCCATGCGGCTCGGGAGTCGGGACACAGCAACGATAGTAACCACAGCTCATCCTGTAGCTCATCATCTCAGAACGATGTCACAACTCGTCCTGTACCTCCTCCCTCCTCTCCTGCCCCTCTTCTTGCTCCTCCTGCTCACCCTGTGCTCTCCCCTCCCCACTCCCCCCACTCTCACTCCCTCGCCCACCCTCACTGGAAGCATCCTCTCTTTCAAACGTCCCACCCTCTGGTGCCGACTTTCCGGTCGACTCAAGATTCACAGCGGAAGAAGATTCAGCATCTTCTGTTGCGGCGCCCCCCTCAGGGGGTACTACATCTGGCTTTCTCTCTTCCCTGGCAGCTTCTTTCTTGTGAATGAACACTCTGGGTTCCGTCTCCTGGAGTCATAAAGGGTGGAGGGGAGAAAAGGCGGAAAGGGGAGGGGAGGGCAGTGAGCTTTCAGTCCTCTACTCTACGCCGTGAATGCCATTTTTGTGAATGAACACTCTGGGTTCCGTCTCCTGGTGTCATGAAGGGTAGAGGGGAGAAAAGGGAGAAATGGGGGAAAAGGCGGAAAGGGGAGGACAGTGAGCTTTAAGTCTTCTGCGCCGTGAACACTCTTCTGTGAATGAACACTCTGGGTTCCGTTTCCTGGTGCCGTGAAGGGTGGAGGGGAGAAAAGGGTGGGGAGGGGAGGGCAGTTGGCGTATGGGCCACAGTGGAAAAACTGTCATTATCTGTAGAGATGCCACTGTGCATCTCCTTGGAAGTTGGAGGTACTATACCAGTATATGTGGCTTGTTCCTTTTATTGTCAGCTTCTCTTCTGTGAATGGAAACTCTGGGTTAGATTCCTGGTGCCATGAAGGGGGAAAGAGAAAAGCGGGTGTGAGAGACAGTTTCTCCAGTGGAGGGAAAGTGGGTGGTTTGGGTGGAAGCTACAGTAGAGTAGGGTAACACAGCTTGAGGATTCCCAAACGTCGACGGAGGGAAGGATTGTGAGGGAGAGGAGGGAGGGAAGAAGAGCTTATCAAGAGTGAGAAGAGGATAATCTGGCTGTTAAAAATTCTTAGAAAACCAAGAGCTTACCAGGACAGGGAAGGGGATGCGAAGAGGAGGCATGCGGAGGAGCGTTTTGGTGCCGATGCTCATGCGCACAAAGCCAGTGGCGTTGGCAACAGGCTCATACGAAGGGACCGAGGGATGGGCACTGGTGGGAGGGCAGCGAGGGCAGGGAGGGCAGGGGGGGCAGGGGGGGCAGGGGGGGCAGGGGGGGCAGGGGGGGCAGGGGGGGGCAGGGAGGGCAGAGGGAGCAAGGAGAGAAGAAAGAGGGCATTTGTGTTCACTGGATGGTGATGCTCATGCGCACAAAGCCACTAGCATGGACAGCAGGCTCGTACAATGGGACGAGGGATGGGCAGTGGAGGGTGGGAGTGAAGGGAGCATGGAGGGCAGAGAGAGGGCAGGGAAGACAGGAGACGGAAATTATTTAAGGTGCGATACATGGTTTCAAACCTATTGGTGTGAGGCAGCGAGGTAACAGGATGGGATGGGATGGGATGGGATGGGATGGGATGGGATGGGATGGGATGGGACGGGATGGGATGGGATGGGACGGGATGGGATGGGATGGGATGGGATGGGATGGGATGGGATGGGATGGGATGGGATGGGATGGGTTGGGATGGGATAGGTTGGGATGGGATGGGTTGGGATGGGATGATGGGATGGGATGGGATGATGAAGAGACAGTACGGAGGGACAGGTGCAGGCTGGAAATGAGGCAGGGAAATGAGAGGAAGGAAGGTGGGAGAAGTATGAGAAGAGTGGGAGGGCAGTGCGAGGGATGTGCGATAGAAGTGGGACAGCGAAGTGAGGCAGGGAAGTGAGGCAGGGAAGTGAGGCAGGGAAGTGAGGCAGGAGGAAGAGACAAACTGCAAGCACATACACACCTGAGAAGGTAGGAAAAGTTGGAGTGCGAGAGCTGGGGAAGAGTGAGGCCCTCCTGCTTGGAATAGCTGTGATGATGTGGGGGTGATAGATGGGACGGGAGACGGAAGGGAGATGGGGACGGGTGACGGAAGGGAGATGGGGAAGGGAGACAGGGAAGGGAGATGGAAGGGAGATGGGGAAGGGAGACAGGGAAGGGAGACGGAAGGGAGATGGGGAAGGGAGACAGGGAAGGGAGACGGAAGGGAGATGGGGAAGGAGACAGGGAAGGGAGACGGAAGGGAGATGGGGAAGGGAGACAGGGAAGGGAGACGGAAGGGAGATGGGATTAAGGTGCAGAAGAAAGCTGAGATCGTATGCAGCCCTTGTACTGGATTAGTTAACTTTGAGATTTCTCAAAAGTGACGCAGATGTACTAGTAGATTAGCTGTGGAGGGGTGTGAGGAAGAGTTGGGAAGTGAGCTTGGAAGAGTGTGACGAAAGCGACTAAATCAACACTACCTGGAAGATAAGGCAGGTGATGAGTCAGGTGATAAGTCAGGTGATTAGGTGACAAAAACTTCACTACTGAATCTGCATGGTTAAAAAACAGACCTCCAGGGCGCTGGCAGTTGGGTGAATCGGGAGAATCCGGTCATGGCTGGAAGCACGTCCACATGCACTGAACCTGGCTCGTGGCCGACTGGCGTTCACGGGGTATGAAGAGAGAGGGAAGTGAGAGGCGGGAGAGAGAGAGGAGCGATGCGTTTTTATGCGCCTCAAAGACTCGAGGTGCCTCAACCATCCACATGCACTGAACCTGGCTCGTGGTCGAATTTTGAGGCGCTTTTTGAAGCGCCTCAAAAATCGACTTTTGAGGAGCCTCTACCATTCACATGCACTGAACCTGGCCCGTGGTCTACTATTGTTCACGGGGTATGAGGAGAGGTGGAGTTGAGAGGCAGGACAGAGAAAGATGAGTTCTGAGGCGCCTTAAACGTCCACATGCACTGAACCTGGCTCGTAGCCCACTGGCGTTCCTAGGAGAATGAGCACAGAGAGAGGGGGAGGAGGGGGGGGGGGTAAGAGGCGGGCCAGAGGGGAGGGATGAGGAAGAACGGGTGAGAAAAGAGGGAAGAAAACGGGCGGGGCAGAAAAGAGAAGAAATGAAGGCGGTGTAGAGTGGACTTGAAACTTTGCAGTCGAAGACAGAAAGACAAGAGTAGCAAATGGGAGGGAAAGGGAGCGAGGAGCAGAGAGGGACCTTTTTGTTGGAGCAGAATCGCAGCAGCGCTGCCAGGATAGTTTCGGTAGGATGCGAGAGCGAAGAGGAGGAGAGGAGACAACTGCATGGGGAGAGGAGGGGTTGATTGAAGGGGTTGGATGGACAATGGGGAAAGACGAGAATGTGATGGAGATGACGAATCAGGATGGGAAGAATCGCAGTAGCGCCGCCGGGATTGTTTCGGTAGGATGGGAGAGCGAAGAGGGAGGAGAGGAGACAGCTGCATGGGAACAGGGGGTTTGAGGGAGTAGGAGAAATATAGGGAAGGATGTCTCAGCCTTTTGAGCACGTGAAAGATCTCCTTGAAGGGGAGGAGAGACAGCTTGAGAGGGAGAGGGAAAGGTGGAAGGGGAAGGGCGGATGCAGAAAGCGGGAAAGAAATTATAGCCACAGCAAGCAGGGCAAGGGGACGTGCGACTCTGCCAAAGGTCCTGTCCTACTAATGCTGCTTTTGAGACGACTCAAAAGTCACTAAAGTACTAGAAGAGAGCAATCAAGCAAGGTCATCAACTCACCTGACAGCCATAGCAAGCAGGGTGAGTGGACGTGTGACTGTGCCAAGCCAAGCCAAGGGTCCTACTGCTGCTGCTGCCAGCTGTGGCTCGCAATAGCACCTGCCTGACAGCCAGATCAAGCAGTTTTCTGAGGTGCCTAAAAAATGGGCATTTGTCGACTCACCTGACAGCCATGGCAAGCAGGACAAGGGGACGTGCGACTCTGCCAAGTGTCTTGCTGACGCCGCTTCTGCCAGCTGTCGCTCGCAATAGCACCTGCCTGGAAGGTTCGTGCGCGGCCAGGGAACGGCGAAGGGAGATGCATAAGGAAGGAGAGGAAGTAGGCTGAGCAGCTGAATAAGTAATGTTTCAGAAAAGAGTGCAAGCAGATGACTACTTAGGCTTCTCAGGAGTCTTTTCAGGAGCGGACAAAGTGTAGAGTAGTGTTAAGGGAATAGAGTGAGAGACGGAGGGGCAAAATGAAACTTACTTGGACGGACGCAGCAGAGAGGAAAAAGAGCGGCAAACCCGGGGCTATTTTTGAGGTGCCTCAAACATAGCTCAGGCGGATGGACTGAAGCCTGTTGGCACTCACAGTCTCACTAGAGCAGGAGCAGCAGAGAGGAGGAAGAATATGCTTTTTGAGAATTCTAAAAAAAAACGGATGGCACTTACAGTCTTACTAGACCACGGGCAGCACAGAGCAGGAAGAGCGGCAAACCCGGGAAGAGAAAGCGGAGCTCCTGAGAGAACGAGCGGTGCAAGGGGGTGGTGAGAGATGAGGAGAGGAAGCAAACTCGAGGACAGATGTGGGCCTCTATATTCTACCGTTATTTATTCCACCGTTCCACGCTAATGAAAAGCAGAAGGAAAGGATGGCGGAATGAGGAAGGTGGAACAAAGAGGCATGAGTTGAATGCGGTGCAGATAATTCTTGAGACTACTTTTTTGCGTCCTGCCTTGCCTTGTGAGGGAGGAAGGAGTGGAGACCCACGAAGGTGAGTGCTATCTTTTGAGGCACCTCAACACTTGCCTTGTGAGGGAGGAAGGAGTAGAGACCCACGAAGGTGAGTGCTGGCAGGAAGAAGCGCAGCATGCGGCGATCGAGAATTGGAGCCACCTGGGTGGGCACAGAGAATACAGGCAGGGAAGGTGAGGGAAGGAAAAGGACGAGAAGGAAAAGGACGAGAAGGAAAAGGACGAGAAGGAAAAGGACGAGAAGGAAAAGGACGAGAGGAAAAGGAGGACGAGAAGGAAAAGGAGGACGAGAAGGAAAAGGAGGACGAGAAGGAACGGAGGACGAGAAGGAAAAGGAGGACGAGAAGGAAAAGGAGGACGAGAAGGAAAAGGAGGACGAGAAGGAAAAGGAGGACGAGAAGGAAAAGAGGACGAGAAGGAAAAGGAGGACGAGAAGGAAAAGGAGGACGAGAAGGAAAAGGAGGACGAGAAGGAAAAGGAGGACGAGAAGGAAAAGGAGGACGAGAAGGAAAAGAGAGACGAGAAGGAAAAGGAGGACGAGAAGGAAAAGGAGGACGAGAAGGAAAAGGAGGACGAGAAGAGGAGGAGGACGAGAAGGAGGAGGAGGACGAGAAGGAGGAGGAGGACGAGAAGGAGGAGGAGGACGAGAAGGAGG